TGCTGGATACAGTTTGCTAATATTTTGTTGAAAATTTTTCATACAATTAAATAATTTTAAAATATGGTAACTTACATTAATTGCTTTTCAAATATAAAACCAATTATGCATTTCTGGGGCAAATTTCATCCTAGGGATTAGATATTAATCTCTTTATACAGTTGTGAATTAAACTTAATTTATTTTTGTTAAGGATCTTTGCATCTATGTTATTATTAGTATTATTTATTCCTCACAATTTGTAAATTGATAAACTTGGTCAATTTTATCAATAAAGTAAGCTGGGCCTGGAGTTTTCTTTCTGGAAAAGTTTTTAATTATTATGAATTCAATTTTTAAAACCACATCTATATGTATTTTTTCATATCCCCATGTACATTCAAGTTATCTACTTCTTTTCGAGTAATTCTGTTTTGGGGGGAATTTGTTTATTTTGTCTTCTGTTGAATTTTTTGGCATAATATTACTCTTTCATTGGAGTTTTAATTTGGGTTTCTCTAAGGATTACTAATGTTGAGAACATTTTAATATTTTTATTAACATTTGCAGATACGTCTTTTTCATATACCTATTAATGCTTTTGCCCAGTTATAAAAGTTAAATTATATTTCTTTTATATAGTTTATAGAAATTCTTTATATAATCTGTATACAATATCCTAGTCCTGTATACATATTGTGAAACTTTTTCCTCAGCCTGAAAATTTTCCTTTCCACTTTCTTGATGGTACCTGGACATAACCCCTATGAAATCAGAATATCCTCCTTTCTCCTTTTATTTTGTCTCTCTACCTTCGCCCTTATCAGTAGTTGGTAGGTAATTAACTCAGTAAGAGTGAGATAGTTCAAAGGCATCTAGCTGGCCCTAGGTGTATTTTTAGGTGTATTTTGTTGTTGTTGCTATTATGAATGGAATTGCATTCTTGGATATGCCTCTAATCTCCAGTCACATGAGGCCACTTTGCCAGCCCAGAAGTTACTCCTGCTATGTAGTCTACTATAAGCAGACCCTTAAAAGTGCACCTCCTACTCTCTCCATAATATATATGGCAGAATAGTGATGGATCCTTCTTTTGGCAGTCTTTCTACAATGCATGGAGCTATGCCTGTCCAAGCACATCTCTGTATGGACTAAGGAAGGGGTGGATAATTGAATTTGTGTTCCTGATTCTTGCTTGTGAGTTTTCCCGCAGTAAATCTTGTTTCATGTGTTTATTGCACAGGTTAGTGCTGTCTACATGTCCCTTTATATGACTGTGCTCTCACAGAATTCTGAGGCTGGAAGGAACAAACAAGAGTTCTCACAAAGAGAAATTTAATCACCTCTAGAAAGAAGTACATGCTAATGGCTTTGGAGTTTCTGTGAAGGAAGGGTTTCCTTCTGCTTTAGATGGTAGGCAAAGTGAGCAATGTCTTTACCAAGTCAGCACGACCTGATTTCAGACAAAGGCAGAAGTGGGATTTCTATGATAATGCCCAATTGTGGTTATAGAGGGGCTACATGAGCAAGGCCATAGAAGTGAAAATGGATTCACTGGGGCCCAAATCCTACAAATTGAAGTAAGAGGGAAAACCCAGCACACATTCCAATGGAAGATGCAGCTTCCTAATATTGCGCTTTCAACTTAGATTCTCTGGTCTGTAATTACTCCACACACTTCCTCAGATCATTAGCATAACTGTGTGCCAGGTAATCATTTAGCCCCTTTGCTTGGTACAAGGTAGCCATACTCTCTACTTAGCTCCCTGTTATTTTTTTTTCTGGGAAGCCTTTCCTGAGACCTGTGGTGACCGTGCTTTTCAGACTTCTCTCTTTCTTACTGTCTTTTCCATTTCTGCCGTTGTATTTGAACTTTAATTATACAGTTTATTTTCTTAACATCTGACACTTTTATGTTTCTCTTTTACTTATTTGACCTCACTTATTGATAACCCAGGTAACTGGTCAGCTTCTACTAATCATGTTATATTTTCTGGGGTTGTGTTCATTATGTTTTCCTCTAAACTTTCTATCTCTGTAAGAATTAAGAAAGCAGAACCTTCCCTGTTTTTTTGAAACAGGGTCTCGCTCTGTCACCCAGGCTGGAGCACAGTGGTGCCACTTCTTTATATCCATAAATTTTAACTGGTTTATATCCATGAATACTCCCTCAGTAGGGTATTTTTGTCCTCTGGATGGCATCTTGGAAAGGTACTGGTGATTGATTATAGCTAATTGGCACGTCGGCTAGTGACTGCCGATGTCACATGTAGCTAGACTGGAATCTCTTTTCATTGATTTCTCATGGGGTCGTTTGCCTCTGGACTTAAAAATTAAGAAAATACTTCATATGACAATGTCTAGATTTGCTCTATATATGTAACTATTCTTAAAATATGATAAAAGATATGTCAAATGTAGATATTTAAAGAAATTTGGATTGGAAATAAACTAAATCAGAAGTAGCAATTGAAGGATAGTGGTTCTGCAATGGAATCTTTCTCAGATTCTGTTTTCCCAAGTCTCAGGTTTCTATTTAAACCCAGTCTGGCCTCTCCTTCTTAGCTTACTATAGAACCACAAATAAAACCTTATAAATTTAATCATTATCTGCACCTATCTTTACTCATATATGGAAAAATGGGCAACAGGATATTGGCAGTGAATACAGGCAAAAAGAGAATTTCTAAAAGAGAGAGGATAGATGGGAAAGAAACAAATTCCCCAGCAGTATGAGAACAGTGGGTATTGTTTTTTTTACTTCTGGATGAGCTGATTAGTGGGCATGTAGCACAGAGTGGTCTGAGAGGTCTGCTTCGAGCAAGCTGGCTGGAGTCATCACAGAAAAAAGAACTTTAATAATAAATCATCCACAAATCTCTGAGAGCGTGCCTGCAGTGAGGGAGGCAGGATGATCTAGTGTGATTTCTGGCACAGTTCTTCTTGCAACACATCTGCCTGAGCTAGGCCAGATTTGCATCATTTCCAGTCTTCAGAATTTTCTCAAGGGCAAAATTTCTTTTCTATCACCTTTTTTTCTCTTACAATGCAAAAAAAAGAAAGTGATCTTGAAGAAGATAAATTTCAAAATGTGAGGGCTTCTTTTAGTTCCCCTTGAAAAACAGTAGAATAGGCAAGATGGTGAAATAGTTCCTAATTTAAACATGTCCCATGTCCCTTCTACCATGTCAGAAAGGCTGTATCCATCAGCTCAGACAGCCAGAGCACATAGAATAGACTGCAGTGGGTTAAACACATTTTTTTTCAGTAACTCCAGAGTATAAAATGGGGGTGCCAGCACTGTGGGGCTCTGATGAGGGCCCTCCTTCTGGCTTGCAGAGCACATTTTTCGGGTTGAATCCTCATATGGTGGAGACGAAACAAGCCAGCCATCAGCATCTCATCTCAGAGGGCATTAAACATACTGGATCAGGGACTCCACTTATATAAGCTCATGTAAACATAACTTCCTCTATAAAGACCCTATCATCAAATATGGCCTCCCTGGGGGTTGTATTTTGGGGGGACATAAGTATTTAGTCCATTAACAATAGCAAAATCTTGGTTACTGTGCAGTGGGCCACACAGGGGTGCTGGAATCACTGAGCTCCAAATGTCTCTGGGGTGTGCACAGAGCCAGCAGCCTGGGACACAGAGGGTTAAGGTGCAGCCTTGCCTGATAGTCACTAGCAGGTGCGATGACATATATATAAAATTGCAGCTGTGCTTCCCATCAGGGAGCCATGCACTTCAGCTATGCAGGGGTTGGGAAGTCTCTGTGAGCTTGCAAAGGAGAATAAAGTTGGGATGTCCCTGCTAGGATGGGACAACCTGCATGCCCTGGGTAGGGACAGACAGAGAAACAACTGCCTGTGAAAATAAAGGCAAAGGACCTGTGGGAGGGACTTGCAACCTAACCCCATCCCAGCTTAGAGCAGCCCAGTTCTGCCCTATGTGGTATGTGAGGGTATTTACAGCAAAAAGCAGGGGTCCTGGATCAGGTAAGCCAGGGACCTAACAAAGGAAGCATGGTGCATGGGAACCTGCAGGGACTATGACATCAGAGCAGTGACATCACAGCCTAACATCCTATCAGAGATGCGATGCCCAAAACCCCAGCTCTCAGAGAACCCCTAGCAGGGTGACACCTGCCCAGCTGTTTCCCACCCAGCATGGGCTCCAGGTGCCTCTGATGGGAAGGACTTTGTCTCCTGGGAGCCAGCAAGTCCTTGGTACCAAGAACAGGTCTGCCAGTAGAGACCCCACCCAGGCGGCACTGAAGGCATTAAGACGAAGACACCCAGATAGATCAGCAAAAGTGGGACTGTCCCGGGGCCAACCTCCTTCTGAGCTGAGAGTCCTCGGCGGGCTGACAGCATTACAGACTGAGGGCCTTCAGCAGACTCTGACCCATGTAGTTACGCTCTCTGAACAGGTGATTATTATTAACAAACAGGTGTTCTGTGTTTTCTCATAGAACCTAGGTAGGCAACTGGTGCCTCCTTACCACTGATCAAGGCACAGACTAAAAAGTATTCTCCATGAGGGAGTCACGGGAGCAGGGTCACATATCCCTTGCTTAAAGAATTGTTTTAACGGGTGTATTTTATGTATACAGTAGTCTTGCTACTTTAGATGCCCCAACTAGTTTTCCATTTGGTTGGGAGGCAGATAGGTTTTTCTTCCCATTATTCTTCTTAGCAAACAATATATTTTATTATACACCCAGCATTTCTCAGCATCTAGGCACAGGTGGGATGCCTCTGGAGCATGCTTCATCCAAGGCACCCTCAGGCTCCCTCCTGTGCTTTTTCCCCGAGCCTCTCTCTCCCTCCCTCACAGGCACAGTGGATTCTGCTGTACAGAACAGGGAGCACTGGATCTCAGGAAGCCTGAAAGGGGAGGACACAGAATAGTGACATCACGGGATACCCCTCCCATCAGGAAAAGCGATGGCTGAGAACTCAGCTCCTCCCTAGGAGGACCGAGCTCTGAGCACAGACACAGTGTTGCCTTGACCCTTCGTGCCATGGGCTCCAGGCTGCTCTGTTGGGTGCTGCTTTGTCTCCCGGGAGCAGGTGAGTCCCTGCAGACAGGACAGCACCCCCATTCTGAGCTTGCCCCCCACCACTGTGTCCTCCACTTTACCTTGGGAAGGAGGTACCACCAGGCTGTCTCCTGTGCTCATTTTCCATCTGCTTTTCCCACAGGCCTGGGAGAGGCTGGAGTCACCCAAACTCCAAGATACCTGATCAAGATGAGAGGACAGCAAGTAACACTGAGGTGCTCCCCTATCTCTGGGCATAACAGTGTGTTCTGGTACCAACAGGCCCCAGGACAGGGCCCTCAGTTCCTCTTCAACTACTACAATGAGATGCAGAGACAAAAAGGAAACTTCCCTGAACAGATTCTCAGGGCACCAGTTCTCTAACCACAGCTCTGAGATGAATGTGAGCGCCTTGGAGCTGGGGGACTCGGCCCTTTATCTTTGTGCCAGCAGCTTGGCACAGCCCTACAAAGCCAACCACACTCTGTGCACAAATCCCCCGGCCCAATGTGGAGCAACCTCAGCCCTGACATATCTGCGAGAACCTGGGGACTGCAGGGGGAAAGAAAGGTAATTTAGGATGCTGGGACCCACAGCCCGGGGCTTTCTGCTATTCAGGGCTGGAAGAAACAAGGCCAAGAGGGGCTGCTCAGAGGATGATGCGGCTTCTGTAGGTTGACTGCAGAATTACCTTCTCTGCCGACACAGGTAAACTGCAGGGTAGAGGACATGTTTGTAATTTAACAACTGGCACACTCTTTTTCGGGACAAGGGATCTCATTTTGTGGTCAAGATTGTTGATAACAGCATAAGGTAGGAGGGAGAATCACAGGGTTTGCTTTATACAACTGAGGGAAAAGAAATTGAGATTTGGGGAAAGTCAAGGAGAGAGAAAACGAAAGATGACTGAAAATAGAGCTAGAGCAGACGATGATGAAAAGTGGTGTTCTTTGTACCATGAACTCTCTGTCCCCTCCTCCCAAAGTTTTCAATACCTATGAAATATAAGGTAAAGTTTTCTAGCAACTGGAATCACCTGGTAGCCAGTCCCAGTAGGGGACATCACCAAAGAGCCACCTGCCTGGTGTGAGAGCCCTGGCTCTGCTTCTGATGTCTTCCTTCTTCTGGCCCTAATCTTGACTTCTCAGGGCACAGTCGGGTACTTTCCAAAACACAGAGGAAGGTAAAATCACCCTTGTTCCTAAAGGAGCACATACTCTCCAGTTTCCCCCCAAATAAATTCTGCTTCTCTGTATCCCTTTCTGACACTCACCTCCCGAATCCAATGACCTTCTATGATCATACGCTCTTTGAACATTTTCTAAAACTCGGCAGCTTTTGCATCCTCAGCGTTTTTCCTGTTTCCATGACTTAGGAGAACCTTTGTTTTCTTAAGACAGCACCAGAAACTGATCATGTGTCAAGGACTGGCTCACACCTGCCTTCCTCTTCACCTCTTACAGTGACATTCCTGGGATTCTACTATATCACTTCCTTTTCTTTATTTTCATAGGAAAAGCCAGGCATATGATTGATACCCTTTAATGTTTGTAAAATTAATAAGTTACTGCGCACTTACTAGAGAATCCTGAAGTGTGATTAATTACTGTCTTCTCTTTACAAGGGCCTCCACTTGAAATATCATGCAAAATGATTATGACAAGTCTTAGTATTTCATATAACTTCTGTAATATTCTAGCAACTGTGTCTTCACAGTCAGGATTGATGTCCAGTCCTGTCAAGTTCTCAAAGGATATCTAATGCTATAATTTGCAAATGTTCTTTTGGAGTGAAGAAAATTATGTTATTTGTGCTGACTGAAGAATCACTGAAGAAAGGAAATTATGGTACAATAATATTTATAAAAACTCATAATCCTATAGAAAAAAAACTTCCTCACCATAACCACACCTTCCACAACCACATTTTTAGTGATTTGGTGGAGATGGAATATCATCAAAGGTGCTTCTTAATCGCCCTTGATGAAATCAACCTAAAGCATTGAAAACAAACAACTAGCTTTGCTCAGTAATGAGATGTTATCATCCTTGACCATGAAAAGGCATTATGTGTTTGTAAGTGTGTGTGTGTTTGTGAGTGTGAATGTGTGTTTTATAGAGATTTGGTGAAGGTGGAATATAATCAAAAGTGTTTCTTAATCACCCCTGATGAAATCAACCTAGAACATTGGGAAAAAACAAAACAATAAAACAAAACAAAAACAACAAAAAGAAAAACTAGCTTTGCTCAGCAATGGAATCTTATCATCCTTGCCAATGGAAAGATATTATGTGTTTGTGAGTGTGTGTGTTTGTGAATGTGAATGTATGTGTGTGTCTTCTTGTGGATACTACTCACATAGAAATAGTTTCTCCACTGGTAATATTTTATGAGGTGCTGGTTCACTGACAGAGCTTCTAGGCACTTCTAGGTAAGGGTGGGAAAGAGCAGACCTAACAATCTGCTTAGTTATACCTGATAGGATAGTTTATTTCAAGATTTTATACATTCAGAAATAAATTTGTAAAATTGAAAAATCCCCTTTATAGAATGTGCTAAAATTTTTGAATAAACTAAACACAATGTATGAAAATATGTGGGTCTGATGAATCAAAGCGAGCTCTGCAATACAGTGTTTTCAGCCCAGATTGGCTTCATATCCTCACACTGTTTCATTCTGTGACCTCTATAATTCTGGCTCCTCTCTTCCATCTTAGGATGTTTACTGCAATGATGTAACAGTAATTTCTCGTGCAATCAAGATGTGTCTTTTGTCTCCACTGGCCAAGGGTGAATTTGAAGTTCCACCCTAAATCAACCCTTTTGGGAAAGCAATAAAAAAGGTGTGTGAGACGGGTGGGGGTTGCAGGGATTGGAGTGGGGGCATCTTTGTTCTTGACTTGGACAATCTTCAGCTCCTCAGGTCAGGTGTGAATCCATGGGACTGTGGAACGTTGGCCACTGGGAGGCGCTGTGGCTCCACAATGCTGCAGGGAATCCTGGGGAGGGCTGGTTTAGTTTAGTTTGGTGTTTGTTTTTTTAATTATCTTATCTAAAATGAGACTAATACTCTCCATCCTGCAGAGTTGTGTCCAAAATTTAATGCCTATAAAGTATTTAGCATATAGTGGAAATCTAGCTATTTTGATTTCCTTTGCTAATCTCAGACAGCCTGTTCACTGCACCAATGCCCAAAGGCAGATAAAGACACATTTTGCCTGGAAATCTTAGGTTGAGGACTCAGGAAGTCACAGTATGGAAACATATATGCATGATGATTACTTTGACAGTATTAACTGGAGAATGTAGCCTATACCTCTCCTCAGTCATTTAAAACTCAATATTACAGATATATAAATTATATAAATACTACACATTTTAAATAAGCAGATCAGAGATTTTTGAGTGATGTACCTACGCATGCAACCCCATCTCTACTGAGATGTACAGCATCTTCACCAACCAGAAAATTCCCTCATGCCCTGTTGCAATGTTTCACTGCATCTCCAACAAGCACTGATGTGATTGTCATCACCATAGAGTAGTTTTTTTAAGGAACGTTTCTAGTGGAACTGTAAAACCTCTACTGCCTAATCCTCTTTAATACATAACTAAATAGTTAACAGGACGAGAAGCTCCTGAAAAGTTGTATGGTTTTAAAAGGGCTTGGAGCCAAGAGCTACCAGATCCACGTTATAGACAGTTCTGTCTGGAGATGGAGGTTGTGATAAAACAACCTTAAAAGGTCTTCCAAGCCGGTACCAGGCAGATTCTACAAAGTTTATGTGTTCATTTACATGCATTTCTTATCTTCCCATTCACTCCAATTATTTTATGATGATATTGTGACAAAAATTAATCATCTTTAAGGGAAATAGCTTGAGTTTTATCAGACACACATGCAGCCGAGCTTTGTGATCACACACTGAGTGTCCTGGGACCAAACAAAACACGGTAATAGTGACCTTGTTGAGAGATGATGTCACATTGGAAGAAAGGTCCTCTTTGTGTTGACCCTAAGTGTCCAATTCATAAAATCTAAGCCTCGAGCTACAAAATTCCCTTTTCTGCCTGGGAACCAGGCTCCTGTCCTGTGTGTTTGCCTCCTGGTCCAGCATGGACACAGACGTGGCGCCCACTCATGAACTTGTTGGATCCTGGCTGTGGCTTTCAGCACCAGGTGGCCCTTTGCTCTGACTTTAATTTCTGTGTCCTTCTCTCCTAAACCCCATAGATGGTGAGTGACTGGGACTCTAGTCATGTGCTTGTGCGAAAAGGAAACCAGCATAAGCGGAGGTAAGCAGAATATGAAACAAACCACATACCCAGGATCAGCAACGTGACTTACTGGCAGATCCCTTGTTCAAATATCACAAGGAGCTTGAAGATCATGACAATGTGACAACCAACACGGGGTCCTTTTAAGTGTGGGGCTCTGTGCACTAAGATAAAGGTTTTGACCTTTTTTTTTAAAAAAAAAGTATTACTGAATTAGTGTTGAGAATCCTGACCAAGGGAATATTCCCTATGAAATATGACATTTCAAATAAAATGAGAGCACTTTTTCTTATCCCAGAGCCTGCTCCCTCCCTCCTCTCCCTATAGCCCTCACATATCAGGACCTCTTTGTGCCCACAGGTCATGGACAGCGCTGGGCGGCCACCATAGTCCACAGAGGGCAGTCACCAGCATGAGGTGGTCCTGCCTGATGTGGTTTACCCCAGGCACAGAAAGCAAGAGCCCTGGGTGGAGCTGAAGGTGCTCAGCTGGGCTTGTCAGGAATCCCATCTGTCAGTGAATTGACAAGAAACAGAGCAAAACGACTCCTCCAATGTTGATGAACCTGCCCCTGGGATTTGGAGACCTGATAACGGAGAAAACCAACATAGGCACAGGACTTTAACAGGATTATGGTCAATTAAGCAAATTAGAAAAGGATACTTGAAGGAGTATTTGGGACACAGGAGTCAAAAACACCAGGAAGACATGAGGATTTTCCCTAGGAGTCTAAATTACAGAAATGTTTAGATAACTGACACTAGTGTGTGAATGAGGAATTATATTATCACAAGGATAAAATTTACATTGAGTTATAAACTGTTTACAAAAAGGTTAAGAAAAACTTGTAAGGCTGTGTCAATTCAGACAAAGGCATTCTTCCCATCCAAACTGTTCACTTTATCTTGAATTTGACCATCTGGAGAAGAGGCGTGGCCTCTCCTGACCACGCCAGGAAGGTGCTGGGGCCCAGGCAGGGAGAATGAGGTCTCAGAATGACTCCCTTGAGAGCCCTGTTACCCGTTCATCAACATACAGACCCAGAAGACTCCATCCTGCAGCACCTGCCATGAACATCAGCCTCCTATGCTGGGCGGCCTTTTGTCTCCTGTGGGCAGGTGGGTCCTGGGCAGGGCCCCTTGTGTGGATTTCAAGGCCCAGCGCCTTACCGTTGGGGCT